TCAGAAACTATGCTAACAGGAGCTTTGTTGGAGGCAGACCATATTCAAACCATAGCCTGTGCCCTCTTCAAATCCATGTTTCCTTAGCATGTCCGGTCTCCTGCTGGACCCTTCAAAGCCATTTGTTACAGTAGGGTTTTTTCCCGCTTTTTAAAGATGGTTTCATGTAGCCCCGGCTGGTCTCTAATTCCCTATGTACCAAGGATGACCCTGAACTGACCCTTCTGCCTGGAGTACTGGGATGACAGATAGTTGCCATCTCACCTGGTTTATAGAGTGCTGGGGATGAACGTGGCCTCGTGCACTGAGCTGCATTTCCATGTCAGTAACATAGTATTTTACTGATCCTATATCCCTAGTGGAGGTGGTGAGGTCACAAGGCGTACTATTCAATGCGATTAATGGAGTTCGCATGGGAACCTGATTAGTTCTCTGGGGAGCAGGCTGTTATGGGGATCTGGACCCTCCCCCATCACACTTATACCATCTCACCACACTCTTCTGTGTTCTCACCACAGTAGGATCCACCATGAGACTCAGCCAGGAGGCCCTCACGAAAATGACACTCTGCTATTTGGACTATAAGTCAACCTCTTTTTGATACGTTAGCCAGCCTCCAGTATTTTGTTATACCAACAGAACATGGACTGATGTAGTCTAATACACAAAAGTTTTCTAGCCCAAAGCTGGCTACTGCAGTGAGTTCTGCTCCAGGGGAGCTGGGTTTTCTATAGCTACCTCTCCTCTTTGGAGATATGTGGCCCCATCTGCATCTTCTGACAGATTTAAGAGTTGTCTATATTTGGTGTCTCAGCATTTTTTCTCACAAGGATGGAAGTGACTTCCACGCTCACACACAAACCATGGGAACCACAAACCATGTCTTTGCACTTGGTTGTTGCTTAGGACTTCCTGGATTGCTGCTGATGAGTCTGCCCCAGATAGAGGGCCTCAGGACAGACCACAGACGTGATTCCACTGAAGTCAAGGCTATGTCAGTTGTTGGGGTTGCTTGCAGAAGTTATGTGCTTCACCAGCAAGCCCACCCCAGCATGGGCAACCACTCTTAAAGCTGGATTCCTGGGGTTCCCTGAATACCTTGCAGGCAGCTCCCCCAACAGTCTTTTATTCCCTAGCAATTATTAAATTATTATTCCTTATAAAACCTTGGCCTACAGTGCCTAGGAGCTTCCTGGGAAACTTGTAAGTTTCAGGAACCTCCTGATACTGTCCTTTACTTCCTGAGTTTCCATGAGCTCCCCCAGGATAGAATGTTGCAATTCAGAAAAGAAGAAGGACCCCTGTAGACTGAGCTCTGCCATCACCTCAGGTGTGAGCTACTCCTGGCACTGCCTTCCTCCTGTGCTGCGGTCCTCCCCCAACTCCTGTTCCTCATTCTGACACATTCTGACACAACTCCTGTTCCTCATTCTGACTCTGACAGAGCAAGTCCCCAGGGGCAAGCTGTGAGTCAATAGGGTCCCTTCCAGCTCCATCAGAACTTGCTGAATGCTGTGCATCCCCCTCAGGCTCATCTGCATGATACGTTGAATACAGCTGGGATCTCATATGCAGAATTGGCTCTGGAGTCTCCAAGCAGTCCTGGTGAAGATATCATGAGGTTCCCTGTTTCCCAAACTCCATGCTGGGTGGGGGGGGCACTACACTCAGGAAGGTCCCCTACTCATGTCTCTCAGAGTGACTGCACTAGCTGAGGTCAGTGGGCACAATCTTGAAGATCACAGTTCTCAGCTACTCCCCAACTTTCTACCCATTAGAAGAGTGTATATGGTTCAGGGGTGGAGTGACAACCTAGAATTCCCCAGTGAGGGGCTGGGGGTGTGGCTCAGGGTAGAGTGACAGCCTAGAATTCCCCAGTGAGGGGCTGGGGGCGTGGCTCAGGGTAGAGTGACAGCCTAGAATCCCCAGTGAGGGGCTGAGGGTGTGGCTCGGGTAGAGTGACAGCCCAGAATCCCCCTGTGAGGGGCTGGGGGGGTGTGGCTCAGGGTAAAGTGACAGCCTAGAATCCCCAGTGAGGGG